TTATAAATTATAAATGTATATAATAATATACAATTATAATTATTTATAATTACATTATTATTATACATATAATTATGATTAATTATATGATTAATAATAAATATCTTTGATAATAATATAGTTATAATTAATTATAATTTATATAATTAATTATACTTATATTTATACAATTTAAATAATTATAAATAATTAATATAAATTATAATTATTTATAATTCTGATTTTATATTGTTATATAAATGTATAATTTATAAGTAGATTTATAATCAGTAATTCTCTTGCGTGTAGCAGCAAACCTATAACAAACATGGTAAAGAAAATTACATGATTTCACACTTTTTGAACTGCAGCAATGCCACTGATTAAAACATTCAAATTGTTCCTATGCCCCTGCAATCTGTTTTTTCCCACACTTTGTGTGTTGCAATGCATTATGGGATTGCATCCAGAGTGTGATATGGACGCATATATTCGCGCATGTGTGACCCTGGACCACAAAACCAGTCATAAGGGTCAATTTTTCGAAATTGAGATTTATACACCATCTGATAGCTTCATCAATAATCGTTCCATTGATGTATGGTTTGTTAGGATAGGACAATATTTGGCTGAGATACAACTATTTGAAAATCTGGAATCTGAGGGTGAAAAAAAATCAAAATATTGAGGAAAATCATCTTTAAAGTTGTTCAAATGAAGTTCTTAGAAATGCATATTACTAATCAAAAATTACATTTTGATATATTTACGGTAGGAAATGTACAAAATATCTTCATGAAACATGATCTTTACTTAATATCCTAATGATTTTTGGCATAAAAAAAAAATTGATAATTTTGACCCATACAATGTATTGTTGGCTATTGCTACAAATATACCCGTGCTACTTATGACTGTGCTCCAGGGTCACATATGATGTCTTGAAATGCTGCCTACGTAGGGCGCTCACTAGATTTTGGAACAGAACCATTGTGAATTCGAATTGCACTTAATTTTGTCAACTTGTGTACGTCTCTCACACACACACACACTCATCTACGCACATGAACTAGAAGAGCCTGCTAATCCTATTACAACAGAGGATCACCTGGCCATACGTTTTCATTTAATACAAACCATCTCTCTCTCTCTTAAATATAAATATTAGTTTATATGCATCGTTCTATCCATACATTATTAATACATTCCTTTCAGAAATTCCCCGTAGCTTAAAAGCGGGAATCCCGAGACGCTATCCAGACCTTGCAGCCCCCCGTGGCTCTAGCGGCGTCCCGTGAGCTGCCGGGGGGCTCTGGGTCACTAGGACACCTCGCTGCCGAACACCTCCAGCACCAGCGGCGTCAGCTGCATGCTGTGCTCGGGCTGGAAGGACAGCGAGCGGTACTGCTTGGAGTGCTCCTCGTTCAGGCTGCGCAGGTCCGCCAGCTTCTGGATCATCTTGGCGTACAACAGACGGCCGCCGGGGTGATGGATCCGGATGTACGCCTGCAGGACGTCACACAGACGATCCTGCAGCGCCTCGATCTGAGCGTGGTCCTGAACGCCGGGCCGATCTGCAGAGAACAGACCCATGCATTCATACCGTAAACGCCTTGACTCACACACAAAAGATCCAGAGCTAACTCAAGTAGTCAACATTTGAGGAGGATCAAAAAAGTTCATCAAAGTTGTCCTAAGACAAGAACGCATTTAGGTTTTAGGACAACTTTGATGAAAGGTTTTCATCCACAAAAGAACTAGTACAAAACTATGAGAATCATCAACGCTATGTTAACAGCTTCACCTCAGCTTCCAAAGATGAATTGAAAATCACTTGAATTAATATGTGACCCTGAACCACAAAACCAGTCATAAAGGTCAATTTTTTTTAATTGTGATTTCATAATGTGTGAATAAATAAGCTTTCCATTGATGTATGGTTTGTTAGGTTCGGACAATATTTGACCGAGATACAACTATTTGAAAATCTAGAATCTGAGCGTGCAAAAAAATAATATTGGAGCGCAGCATGATGATCTCGATAGCGCTGGACTTGAGCAGAGCGATCTGATCTTCTGCCGTCAGGTCCCTGAGACAAACCACAAACACACACACACGCGCGAGCTTCATGAACATCAGACAGGACACAAGAAAACACAGCCAGATATTTCTCTTAAGTAGTAAACTAACTAAAACTGAAACAAAAACTGATCTAAAAATAGACAGATTGAAAAAATAAAAAATAAATATCTTTGTTACCTGCAAATAAACATTAACTGAAAATAAAATTTTTCATCTAGTTTAATTTGAAGCACAAAAATAAATTAAACTGAAAAAAAAAAAAATATGTAGACATTTAAAAAAACTTTTTTCATTAATTGAAATGAACATTAAATGAAATAAAATTTCTCATTTTTAGTTTCATTTGAAGTACTAAAAATCGAAAACAAAAATTGATGAAAAAATGTATATAGTCATTTTAAACAAATAAAAAAGATGTCTTCATTCATTGAAATAAAAATTTATTTTTTTGTTTACTTTAATTTAAAGTACTAAAAAACTAAAACAAAATATTTGTAGACATTTGAAAAAATAATATTTTCATTAACTGAAATAAAATGAACATTTATTGAAATAAAATGTTTACATTTTTCTTATTTTAGCTAGTTTCCAAGACAACGTTTCTGATTTTCATTTAGTTTAGGTTGAATTACTAAAATAACTTCAATATATAGACATTTAAAAAAAATATATAAATAAATGACAGCCATTTCTAACTACTAAAACTTTGACATTAAATGAAAACAGAAAGTATATAAACATTAAAAGTCATATAATAGTTGATCAAAGATACTAAAATAACACTGATTTGCAGTTCAGGGCTCTACTAACGCCAAGTTCATGGGTTTAATTCAGAGGCAATGCATGAACTGTAGATCTTGAATGCAAAGTAGGTTGCTCTGGATAAAAGCGTCTGCTAAATCAGTGAAAGATTGTTAAGGTTCTGATTAGGGGTGTGCAATATTGACAAAAAATCATATCTCGATATTTTCTGGGATTTTATCGATAACGATAATTAGACTATATTTAGCTTAGTATGTTATTGTGCTGATACCTTAAGGACTACCGTGGACAGCTGATTCCTGAAGTTTTTGATATTCTTCATATTCTGTGTGGTGGTCAGTTCACACTGAGAGAAATTAATCTTTCCCAATAAGTTTAAAATTATTTTTACATTTTATGGGCATTTTTACCTTTACAAAGCCATTTTTTCTAAAAGTGTCTATTATCTTTTGAGTCAAATTCTTACATTTAATCGGTGAATTAGAATAATAAGACATTTGGGCTGTTAAATCAGTATCAACTAAATTCATCTTTGCAGCGCAGAGGAAACACAGAAGCTGCGTCTGAAGTGGCATTTAGATGTATTTACACACTGTTTAATGCAGGACATGAATGCATTTAACCTGCAATTACAAATGCATAAATAATGTTTTGATATATTACACATTAAAACGTTGAATACTGTTATTTGAAATTATTTAAATAATAAAAGAAACTTTAAATGTGAAATTAAAACCGCCAGTAGGTGGCAGCAAGTCACTGTTAATAAGTGAGTCATTGCGATTGAACCGAATCATTTAAACGAGTGATTCATTCAGGAACAAAACACTCATGTTGCTCAGAGACGCAAAACAGCGTTGTGACTGTGTTTGGAATTATTTTTGTTGTCGAAATAGCGCAAAAAACAGCCAATAATAGCGTCTAAAACGTAAGTCTCTTAATTAACTTCTTGTTTATTTAACTGTTGTAAAAAAAAAAATCAATATCACATTTGTAATCATGGTAATATTTGGAGACAAACGGCACTCTTCGTGTGAAATTTATTATTAACTATATGAAATGGTATAAATATATAAATTTTCTGCCATGTCTTGAATTTGTGATCATTCTAAATGTACTTTATTAGACTGAATCATGCAGTGAAAGAACGCACTCTAAACGCGCACTAGACAATGTATGCGTGCGCTCTGTACGAGTGTTTTGAATGGTTTTTGCAAAATATTCAATGTCAAATCGCACATCGTTAAAACAACAATTACGATATTATCGCAGACGATATATATCGCACACCCCAAGTTCTGATTGAGATCCAGCAGCACAAATTAATATTCAATGTCAAATCGCACATCGTTAAAACAACAATTACGATATTATCACAGACGATATATATCGCACACCCCAAGTTCTGATTGAGATCCAGCAGCACAAATGAAGATTTATTTACAGCTGTGAAATAATCAGCTCTTAATACTTGTGGACTGAAGATCACACACATACTCCAGACTCTTCTTCAGAAAGTGCTGTGTGATGATCTGAACGAGCCACCGCTAAGCACATTAGCACTCGCTAAGAGCCAAACGGGCTTTGCTTAGTAAATAAAACCATTTATCACCATTTAACTGCTGTTAGAAGACGGTGGACATTAGGTACAGTGTTATTTTAGTATTATTTATATACTATTAATTCTTATTTAGAATTAGCTTTTTTGATATTTCCAGTTTTCATTTTAGTTCACTTTTAGTTTGCTTTTGTAATTTTTTATTTTTCAATTCAGTTTTAATTTATTTTAATTTCTATTTAAATTTTAGTCATTTTAGTACTTCAGCTTAGGTTATTTGCTATGGCAAAATTTTAAATGTTCATTTAAGCTTTTTAAATCAGATATTTACGTTTTATTTTATTTCAGCTTTATTGCAACAAATGAAATCTATCTGTAATTGTTTTGATACATTCAGTTTTCATTTTAAAGTGCCCCCTATTTTGGATTTCTGAAAATGACCTTTCATGCAGTGTGTAACACAGCTCTAAGTGAATGAAAACATCCTGCAAAGTTTTAAATCTGAAAGTGCACCATGTATAAAGTTATTGTCTCTCAAAAGCAAGAGTCGACTCTGAATCATAGAAACGAGTCATTTTTAAAACTAATCCCAAGTCGTTTCATGTTGACGTGAACATGAAACATTAGCATATTGCCTGCCCACTTGTTGGTCTTTTCAGGTTGGTCTGAATGAAAATGTAAATTTATTCTTTGCCACTAGGTGTCGCTTTTGGAGCAGTAAAATAGAGGTTTCCCCGGTAACACGTCAACATGAAACATTAGCATATTGCCCGCCCACTTGTTGGTCTTTTCAGGTTGGTCTGAATGAAAATTTAAATTTATTCTTTGCCACTAGGTGTCGCTTTTGGAGCGGTAAAAATAGCGGTTTCCCCGGTATGCTGTACACAAAGCAGCACTGCGCTCACAAACGCTGCTTTATAATAATTAATTAATTAATTTAATAATTATAATTTATGCATTTAGCAGACTTTATCAAACGCTGCTTTATCAGGCATTACAGGCGAGATGAAATGAAAATGAGACCAATCGGACCAATCACCGCAGATTAGCGTCACGCAAAGAAGGGGTTTGGAAACATGAATCGTTAAACGAATCGTTTCGGAGTCGTTGAGCAAGTAAGTTAAAAAATAAATGCATATTATAAGACAATAAAAGTGTTTTTTGAGCTTGCATGCATGTCAACCTGTTGTTGGGGACTCCCAAAACCAAAATATGATCCTTTCATTACCCATAATAGGGGTACTTTAATTTTAGTTTAAGTTTTAGTATACTTTTGTGATTTCTATTAGTTTTTGTATTTAGTTTTAATTTATATTTATTTCAGTTTTAGTTTTAATAATTGTAGTACTTCAATTTAAACTTAAGTTAGATGCCATGACAAAATTGTACATTTTCATTCAAGTTTTCAGTTTCAGCTTTGATATCAGCTTTATTTCAATTAATGAAAATAATTTTTAATTGTTTTGATATTGTGAGTTCATTTTATTCTTAGTTTTAGTACTTCTGTAATTTTCATTAGTTTTTGTTTTCTTACATTTTCTAATTTAATTTAAATGTATTTTTGTTCCAGTTTAAGTAGCTTTAATACTTCAAAACATGGCAACAGTTCCTATTTTCATTTAAGTTTTTTTATTTTAAGTTTCATCAAATATTTTATTTCATAATTATTTCAATGAACGAATATTATTTTCAATAATTGTATTTTTGGATAATAATGGCAGCACTGGTTGGGTAACATCACTTTGAAGTGCAACATGCATAGTTTAAACTGAATTGTGAGGGAGAAAAACAAATGCTCAATTCCTGGCTAATGGGAGGTCAACACTTCACACCAGGTCAAAAGAGAAGAGAACAGAGTCTCACCTGAATCCAGGGATCATCTTGGCGAATCCGATGACTTTCTGGATGCTGTAGCTGACGAGGTCGGCGAGGTGCGGTAACATGGACAGGCGTGAGTTGTCCTCCTTGCTGGAGTCTGGACTGCCGCCGCTGTCCTGATACATCATCAGCAGATTACTGAAGTTCAGCTTAGTGTCCACAGACTCTACAGAGACACGATTCGATACGTCAGATACAACACATATGTGACCCTGGAGCACAAAACCAGTCATAAGGGTCAATTTTTTGACTCCAACACTACATGTGTACTGCGCCCGAGCGCAACTGAACCGTGCTCTGACCCACCTCTTCCAACCGAGCCAGGGCCTGCTAAACGAACCGGAGCGATCACACTAATCAAACGAACCAGGCTTTGGGGGTCAAACGTGCTCGGGCACGGTTAAGATTGCCTAGAGGGAGTACACCCTTACTCTCCCACGTCCCGCACACACAAGTCTCTACCCACCCGCTCCTACACTCGCCCATCAAGTGTTGTCCCGTGCCGCACTCTGTTGCGTTGGGTCCCGTGATCGTGCAGGTCTCTACTCGGAAGGCGCCTGTTATAATGTTATGATCGAGGCTCTGGACTGGCCCCCCGCTCGTACACTCGCCCATCAAGTGTTGTCCCGTGCCGCACTCTGTTGCGTTGGGTCCCGTGATCGTGCAGGTCTCTACTCGGAAGGCGCCTGTTATAATGTTATGATCGAGGCTCTGGACTGGAAACAAGCATAACTTGTTTTTCTATAGCAAACTATATAATATTTTCTATAAAAACGTTAATGCTCTGGCAGTGGCAAATAGCTTTGGTTTTATATTTAATTTGATTACATTAATGTTTAAATTGAGATTTACAAGAAATATTTTTAACTGCTACTAAGCACCTTTTTTGTTTAAAGTGTTTGCAAACCAAATGTTATTGCACTTTTGTTCATATAGCAGAAGATTTTCTATAAAAACGTTAATGATCTGGCAGTGGCAAATAGCTTTGGTTTTATATTTAATTTGATTACATTAATGTTTAAATTGAGATTTACAAGAAATATTTTTAACTGCTACTAAGCACCTTTTTTGTTTAAAGTGTTTGCAAACCAAATGTTATTGCACCTTTGTTCATATAGCAGTACTTTTAAATGAAAAAGTGCGCAATACACTACTTTTTAATTCATTATTGAATTTTGTGCATAATGTGATTAATCACGATTAATCGCAGAAAAATCATGCGATTAATCGCGATAAAATAATAATAATCGTTGCGCAGCACTAATATTTATATAAAATATAACTGATATGAATATAAATATATACATGTAAATATTTTTGAAATATATACTGTATGTGTATGTATTTATATATACATAATAAATGGACACAGTACACACACATATATTATGTAAACAAAAACGTTTATTTTGGATGTGATTAATCGCGATTAATCGTTTGACAGCACTAGTATCTAAACATTTTTAAATCAAGATATATTTACTTGAGAAGCAAAGACAAGACACTACAGGCAAAACTATAGTTTTTTCATGCACTGCTCAATTTTGAGATTTTGGTCTATTTTGCTTCTATAGAATATATTCTTCAAACTTGTAGAATGAAATTTGAAATACACATTTAAATGTTCAATTTTATTGCAATTTATCTATTTGCATCTGTAGATTTCAATTACAATACAATAAAAACGTTTTTATCTCCACTTCAGCAGCACATACATACTCCAAATTTAGCAGTTTTATTCCTCTCTATATTCTGAAGGTTTTTGATGAAGTGTTTGTTCATGCATCACTCACCTTGAGTTTATTATTGCACTTTATCTATTTGCATCTGTAGATTTCAATTACAACGCATATTTTTAAAAGTTTTTTCTCCATTTCAGCAGCACTTACAAACACCAAATTTAGCATTTTTATTCCTCTCTATAATCTGAAGGTTTTTACTGAGGGGTTTGTTCATATTTCTTTCACATTGATTTGTATAACATTTTATTCCTAAAAATATGGTGAAAATCCATATCTTTAAAGGACCATGAGATTTTTCTCCACTTCAGCAGCACTTAACTACACCAAATTTAGCAGTTTTATTCCTCTCTATATTCTGAAGGTTTTTGATGAAGTGTTTGTTCATGCATCACTCACCTTGAGTTTATTATTGCACTTCATCTATTCGCATCTGTAGATTTCAATTACAACGCATATTTTAAAAAGTTACATACCAAACATAGCAGTTTTATTCCTCTCTATATTCTAAAAGTTTTTACTGAGGCGTTTGTTTATAAATCATTTACACTGATTTATATAACATTTTATTCCTAAAAATGTGTTTTTTTCTGTCTGTTGACAGTATTTTCTAATTTATGGAGTGATAAAAAGAACCTAACCAAAATCCAAAATGCCCCTTATAAAATCCTTTAACTCTAGTATGTCAACAAAATGAAACCAGAATTTTTAACCTGGCTTTATCCAACGTTCAGATTTATTTTCTTGAAATGTATGCAACAGTGGATATTTAATTAGATAATGCAAACTTATAATTGTCTTAATGTACTGTGATTAATCAAGTGAGGAAGTATGGTGAAATCATTACATTTTTACCCTATTCACCTGTGGTGTCTTGCCTTAAGACATGAAGTCTGGTTTTCTTTTAAATAAATGATCAAAAATACACATGTTTATGCTTAAAACAAGACAAATATCTGTTAGTGGGTACAGAATTTTTTAAAAATAATTTCCCATTGAATTCAGGTTATTTTTCTAATTTTAAGCAAAAAAATCACTTGATTATGATCAATTGTTTAGAAAACGAGACATATTTTACATATTTGTAACGGAAAACAAGCAAGAAAATCATTTTTACAGTGTAACAAATAAAGTGGAAAAAAATGTTTTCAAGTTATAACAAACTAAGATCTCACAAAATGGTAGGGGTGGCTCGATCCCAATTTTACAGAACAGATCCCGATCCGATGCCAAAAATTCTGAGTATCGGCCGATACCGATATTGATCCGATACCAGCGCAGTTTTTTTTTAATCAGTGTAGAATTTCTATACCTCAATGTGTGTTGAACTGATCGTCACTCTTTTGTGTGTTACACACAATCTACTAAATATAGACAACTTTATTATTAAGAAAAAATAACAAACAGAAAAAATCATGAGTGCACAGTAATTTTATAAAATCTAAACTTTTTGTGAAAAAAATAAACATTTATTGGGGAACAAATAAAAGTGAATAAGTGTTGGACTAAATCTGGTAAAATGTTACACATTGCTCTTTGTATGGTTGTAAAATACATTCATGAAAAAAGTAATATATTTATATATAAATATATAGGGCCTACTATAAAATTAAAAGACATTTCTTTTAAATGTATAGCACAGTAATGAGGCAGCAACATATGATAGATAAGACGAACAAGAAAGGCTATTAATAATCTGTCATTGCGCAAAAGTATTATAATACGAAAGGCTCCAACACAGAGTGGTACAAAGGAAAACGAAACTCCAGCAAGATAAAGTCCTTTTATGCAAAACCATTTATCTTTATTTACAGATCAAGTATAATATTAGGAACACCGAGTCGTCTTGGAGAGAGTGTCATCTTTTTGACTGTCGTAACCAAACACGACACGCAGTTTGAATGCTGAATGGAGGATGACAGACAGCCGCAGTGGAGAGAAGAGTTTACGTCAACTTGAACTTAATATTCGTCTGTACCTCACATTAAACTGTGGAACGGCTTCAGAACACGTGGAATATAGCGCACAAAAACTTTGTTGCTTTATGATGTTTTTGTGGCTTTCGTGGGGCTTAACAATAACACAGAATAGTCTACGCAGTATATTGGATTTGGATCGGGTTTGTCTGACCGATACCCCGATCCAGCAGAAAATGCCGGTATCGGAGCCGATACCGATACTGAATATTGGATCGGCGCACCCCTACAAAATGGATGTCTGTATTCCTACTTAATCGTATTTTGGGGACAATTTTGTGATCATAAGTGAGCAAAATCTGACAAAAAAAGACGTTTTCTGTAAGTGTTGTGCTTTACAACTTAAAATTAGCTGTATATATAAAGAAATAGAAGTCTATGGAATCAGGCCCATAGCCAGCTAAGAGGTCACCGAGGTCCGGACCTCGGTAAATTTTTCATGTTCAAAAATTAAATTTGTAGAAAGTTTTGGTTTAGGGTCAGCGATATCTTTATCTTATTTGCAAAAGATTTGAGCAAAATCTGACAAAAAAAGACGTTTTCTGTAAGTGTTGTGCTTTACAACTTAAAATTAGCTGTATATATAAAGAAATAGAAGTCTATGGAATCAGGCCCATAGCCAGCTAAGAGGTCACCGAGGTCCGGACCTCGGTAAATTTTCCATGTTCAAAAATTAAATTTGTAGAAAGTTTTGGTTTAGGGTCAGCGATATCTTTATCTTATTTGCAAAAGAATAATTTAGTTATTTTTTTTTTTAATAGCAATATCTGGCAACACTGCAACGCCGGCACTTAAACTGACAGTAACAAAAAAGCCCACGGATGGGTTATTGTTGACAGGATACGACATTCGGGAAACGCAAAAAAATATATAATGATATTATCAGTCAGAAACGTTATCAACGCTGTCAAAAACAGTAGCATTTAACACTAGTACACAGATCTGTTGAACAAGTAGGTTACAGAATGAAATGAAATACGTAAACACTAGCCATGAAGAAGTCTATGCCATGTCATTCAGTACAGTAGTTAAATTTTCATAAATCATGCTATAAACATTCAAAAGAGCACTAGACAAAGTTATCAGCTATATAGCAATGGCTATTAATAAAAACTATAACAGTAATATGTATTGTTGCATGAATAATAAACAACTGATAGCCTAAAATTATACACCCCTAACTATAGTAAAGTATTAACACATTCCTCCAAAACGGAGAAAACATCTTTCACAAACTATCTACATGTCTGTCTCTTTTAAAGTGTTTATAGTGTATATAATGAGTTGTATTTGTAGGGGGTATTATAGACCTCACTAATTTTAAAAGCCTGGCTACGGTCATGTATGGAATGACCCCATTTAGATAGCTAAGTAAAAGTGTGTGTGTGTGTGTGTGTGTGTGTCTGTGTGTGTGTGAGTCTGTGTCTGTTTGAGAGTGTGTGTGAGTGTGTGTGTCTGTGTGTGTGTGTGTGTGTGAGAGAGAGATAGCGTGTATGAGTGTGAGAGTGTGTGTGAGTCTGTGTGTGTGTGTGTGTGTGAGATAGAGAGTGTGTGTGTGAGTCTGTGTGTGTGAGAGTGTGTGTGAGAGTGTGTGTGTGTGTGTGTGAG